TGCAGTATCTGTTAAACTAGCCAAATTGTAGAGAAATGAATGTAGTTGGAAGAGCCGAGGCATGTTTCCCCTGAATAGAGTTATGAAAATTCAGATAATTAACATGATGTAAGATCTAAAATCATTGATTCTGATAACTATTCGTTCGCATCTGATATGACTTGTTTTAGGGTATTGGTTGGTGCCCCAAAAGCTGATTCTGGTCAAGTGGGTACAATACAAGCAGGGGCGCTCTTCGCATGTCCTATAAACACCCGATACACAGGAAACAGCTCAGAATGGTAAGAGAATATCATTTCCTACTGAATACCTGCAGACAAAGTGCGCATAATGCGGCGCTTATTACCAGTGCCAATCAGTACAATCAATATTCAAGAGCTTTTGTTCAAGGATAGCCGTTCATATGTGAAAGTAGTATTTAGGATATAAGCGACGTTACTGTTTCTTTAAATCTAATTTAAGGTGTGAGCAAGTCCGCTCTGAATACGAAGATATATCCTCCTACTCGAAGTCACCGGATATGACTTTGACTGGGAGAGAAGCCCACCATCTCGGCAAAAATGGCGAGCTTTTAGGTGCATCCCTTGCATCACAAGGTACTCAGCGAGGTGGAGCTGTGGTAAGAATAAGCTAAATTTTTCTCGCGAATTGCGTTTATTTGATCTGAATTAGGTCTGTGCTCCTTTGATGCGATTTCACAATACGAGTGCTTACACTCAAGGCGCTTGTTATGAACTTAATTCGGATCTCTCTTTGGGTGGAACGTATACAACCTGTCTACAGAAAAATCTGCCCAAACTTGACCGCCATAATGAATATGGAGCATGTATGGAAGGATTTTCATCAGCATATTCTGGAGTAAGTTAGCGAATCTCTCTTTGGGTGGTCATCGTTTTTCTTCTTTTTTCATTTGTCGTTTACATTTATTTTCTTATCTCTTTGTTCCTATTATCGTAATCTCTGAAATCACAGTGGTCTTGTTTCCTTAATCTGTTTTCCCTACACTAAAACCTCAGTTTTTAATTCTATTGATATTTATTATATTTTACTTAGTATTTATAAAACACTTTCGCTTTTTGATAATTATGAAATTTTAGTGTGAAAAACTGCTTGGATCT